TCTTCTTCTTCTTCTTCTTCTTCTTCGACGGTTTCTACCCCTTAGAGTTTGCCGTTTTCGATTTCCACAATTCTCGGTCCTCCCTTTGACCCTCTCCCAATCCTTTCTCCTCCATTACTTCATGTATATATGTCTTGCAGGTTAAACCAGGTCTACCTCTTCTACGAATATGCCTCGGACCAGTCAAGTCTACCGTTCCGTTTTTATATATTAATTAAGAATTACCTGCATTTGCCATTTGGACCTGTGCAAGCGAGTTTCTCACGCTTAAATGTGCCATAGCGAACATTTCAAACTTAACATGCGTAAATAATATTAAAATACACTACATTATTAGATTAAAAACATTTAAATTATTATTAGATTAAAATAATGTAATTAAATAACATTATAATTACAATATTATATTATAAAATTAAATATTTTTGACGATTAGGTCAATTTCCTTTTCCTGTAAGTTGGGACACAAGTTGCCGGCGTATAGCAATCTTGGATTAACATGAAAATCTGTCTTGTGAGAGTCACAACCTTGGAAAATAATAATAGAGGAAAGTACTCATACCCTCCCCCTATTTTCTTTTTGAATATTTTAAAATTCAATTTTCTGTAAAATTATTTCAAAATATTTGCAATGTTTACCTTGCTTAGTTATACAAATGTTGTATTCTACTTAAAGTTATTGGCCGAGTAGTTTAAGAATAAAATATTTTTTTCGTAAACACGTTTCATAGATTTGTAAAAAAAGGTTTCCTAATGTGAGCACTTCGGAAACATTTTAAGAAATGGGTAAAAATGAATGAGAAACTGCAAACAGTTCAATCGAACTCAGTATAATTTTACAAAAACACAAACAAAACAAAAAGTTTAACGTCTTATATATAAGAAATTGTCTCACATGTCTTCGCATATAGCCTATGTATTCAAGTGCGACGTAATGTATATATGTAAGCATCTTTTTTTGGCCCCGCACATTCTACATAAACTCAGACGAAGACTTTAGGCACATCACCTATAGTTCTCCTAACCTTCTGAAAATTTTACACCGAAAAACGGGCACTTTGCATAATTTTTACTTCGAAGGCAAGATATCCCTGGTAGAACGTCTAATTAGTAAGATTCAGAGTACATGTCGTTCGCTTCTTCGCCGAAAGAGGAATCTTTCTTTTGGTTAAGGACTGAAGTTAACTTCAGAATTTTCTTAAATATATCTGTTTTCGACTTCTTTGGGATTAAATTCTGAAGTTGTTCCCCGCCCTCTTTCATCTTCCTACCCTCTAGAACTGGTTGGCTTCACAGTAGACTCTTGCTTTTTATTAGACTCCTAAGATACAAGGAGTGCCAAATATCTTAATTATTTTAATTTTACAAGACGAAAAATTGGGGTCCCGTGTTAGGAACCTTTGAGAGGTTAGGGTTTGGCACCAGTGTGTTTATATTACAAATGCCCATAACATTTTTACAAGGTAATATAAATTGCATTGCCCCTCATCAATAAGAGTTTCTTATGTACTTTTCAAAATAATTTAATGGTTAGAAAATTTACTGTTAAAGTAGCGAAATCAGGTAATTGAAAATAGGCACTTGAAAAAACTTTTCTTTTCACTGCAACTGACTGTCCAGCAACAAGTGAAGATGAAGATGCATCCGTTTGACTGAGCTGCGGTCTTCCAAAGAACTACTATATTAGTACGTTTTGAATAGGCAACAGCATTCTACAGAGCTGTAAATCAAGGGGCATTAGGAACCGGACCAGGGTTTGGGTACTTTCCTATACCAATTTTCTAGAAACGTATGTTGTAAGATTTTCATACTCCTGCACTACATTTCTTCGCACATACGAAAAACGCTGGGGAGAGACGAACACATCACAACAAATCCTTCTTGTCGGTGCTTCATGGGCTGAATTTCAGCTGCTAAAAGCTGTTTCTAAAATACTGAGAACTAACCACTTTCAGGAAACAGTTTGCACAAGTCTGAAATCTCTAATTGCGTAAATTAATCACAGCACTACCGAACTCTCATGGAAAGACACTCGTGAACACAAGAACGGGACAATCTCGGATGATAAAATGGAGAAGAATAAAAGAAACAACAACAACAGAATGCGGTAGTAATTATTATTTTTAAAAATTTACTTTCAAGATAATGCTAAATTAAAATATCGTACATGATGTTATAACATTTATTTTTTGTTAGGAATTAGTACAAGGAAACCAAGAATAAATTATTATGCTGGACATTCTGGTAAGAATCGCAAATAATTGCTAAGAAACATCTTGCGGCAGGAATAGTAACTAAGAATAGCGCATCGGACTGCAATCTATGGTGCATTACATTATCCCTAAAACAAGGCATTCTCGCCTCTAACGAAAGTGAGTAGGCGAGGTATGCCACTGTTCGTGGAGGCAAAATGCTCTATGACTGTCGTAGCAACCGCCACGTCATCACTTGCAGAACCTACACGCAAAACTCCAGGTTGTGACGTAAGCAAACGAACCTGAAGAACAGAACCTAAAACGCTTTCCTTGAGGAGAGAGGAGTTATACTGCGATATATGCTATTCCGCCCCTGGAAGGTATCAGCTGTTGACGGTTCCATCCAATCGGAAGCTTAAATGTCGCTACAGTTACGTCACTAAGGTGACGTTCAAGCTCCCGATTGAATGAAACTGTCAACTGATAACTGCCAGGGGTAGAGTTGCAAAAATCGCAGAATATAAGGCCTGACATGCGTTGTGCTCGCTGTCGAGGCCTATACATTAGTTTTAAGTTCGATTAAGTTAGTATTTTTAAAATAAAAGCCCTCCCCAATCTTCAGAAGCCTAATCGGGTGAAGCAATGAATGTACACCCAATAAATAAATGAAAGTCCCGCCTCTCCATAGTAACGGGGGGGATTGAAACATGCACTCTGCCGGGCCGCCTCAAAGCGAGCGTAAGAGAATCATTGAAGGAAAAAAGGAAGTTTTATTTAAAAAAAGCTATTCGTAAACTCTTTGATTATAATTTGCTTCATACACATGGTTGGTGAAGTGACATTTCACTTCTTGTACCTGACAAGCAACCATTGCATTAGAGTAGTGAGTGAAGATTACAAATCAATTTGGATGAACAGAATTGTGTAATTGATGGCGTTTGAACCAAGGAATTGAACATGATTTATATTACCGATTAATCTTTTTGCAGTTTTCGTCACTGTAAGCAATCTATTTCATCGTCATCGTAATAAAACTCACAGATAATGCGAAGATAAAATGGCACACAAGTAAATTTAGGTATTAAGAATCATGCAAATAGAAGGTTCATTGCATAGTATTAAATTGCATAGTTTGTGGGATAGTGATCATGAATTTGTATAGAAATATGAGGAGTCTAGTTTCAAAACGTGTCTTTTCCACCTTTGGTGAAAAATGAGATATTGGATTCAATAGGGGTCCGTTGCAGTTGTGCTACTTTCGACGAGTATAAATTGATTTGCAACAAAACGCGATTTTTGTTTGCTCCCGAGTGCTTCATAGTAATGATTCAATATCAGATCGCGATCTTTCCATAATCGTTTCGCTACAAAGTACAATCTTTGTAATCCAGCAATCAGAGATCACTTATTGTGTCACTATACTTTGGCGCCATATTATATCAAAATGCAAATTTATCATTCTATGGAAATCTAACTGGCCAAAGCATTGACCAAGCTGATGCAGAGAAGGATGAGTATTGTGACAGCCAGCAGTTAGGGGTTGCATATCTTCATATTTGATAAAAAATTATATTTCACTAAAATACAAAAAAAAATCGATTGGATTACAAAAGAAGACACTTTCACATTTTTAGCTCAACTTTCTTCTTGATGAATAGATATTCTTGAATTATCTTCTAATATTGTTTTTACTTTCACTAGCGAAGGGCATTAATCCCAAACATATGGCAGCAGAACGTTTTAAATAAATTATATGACATTTTCTTGTTTTTCTCAAAACAGGTTAGAATGGAAAAGTCTCATTTTGAAACTAGACCCCCCATATTGTCCAGGCGCGGATCACGCAGTGATCTACAGAGAAGGATGTGAATTTTTATAATTGTAGAAGGGAGAATAAAACCTATCATTACCTCTTCTCCCTAGATAAACCGATACATAAGAAGTGTTTTGATTAGAATATGTAATATTCTTTAGTAAATTAGATTTAAAAATGAAAGCCTAAAATTATTTTACTTCAATTAAACAAAGTAGATGGGAATTTCATGATGTAGAAAATGAACGAGGAAGTAATATCGAAACAAAAAAATTAAGCTCTAGATTTGGGAGTACGTATTCACCAGATCATCCACAAGTACCTGTCCTGAAAGAGTCACTGAATTCACCCATACATTGGTTGACCCCCATGAGCAGAAGAGCCAAAGAAACAAAAACGTTGACCTTGCATGGAAGAAACTTCAAGGGAGGCAACGGAATCACGGATGAAGGAGGTCTCGGACGTCGTCGGATTTTGCGATGACAAACGGCGTAATTCCCTTCCAGTCTCCGCTCCAGCCGCTGAGGTTCTTCCTCGCGCCGGCGGCCAACAGCGCCCGCACGACCAAGATGGCGTCTCTGTCAGCGGCTATGTGCAGAGGCGTCACTCCGTCCTTGTCTCTGGCGTCCACGTCGGCCCCTCGTCGGAGGAGCAGGCCCGCGCAGAAGCCGCTCGCATCGAAGAAAGCCGCGGCGTGTAACGCGGAGATCCCGTCCACACCAATGCCGTTCACATCCGCTCCCCTTTCCAGCAGCAGTTCCGCCACGTCTGAATTACAACTACCTCCGTGATTTGAGGGTAAAATGACTGTTGTCAAAGGGACGCTGTGGAAGGCTAATATCAAAGGAGTGTATCCGTAGGTGTTAGTGTAGTTTACATCGGTTCCGTTGTCCAAAAGGTGGCGGACGTGGTCTTTGTCGCCGTTGAACGACGCCTTACACAAATATTCCCCCATGAGGGAAGGGTCCTCGCGCGATTTCTCCATCCTCGCCTTCGCCGCTTTGATGCGGAGCTCCACTCGTTGCTTCTCGCGCTCCGACTCCTCCGTTGCCAGCTCCTCCGTCACGCGGTTGCGGTCAGCGGGCGATGGAGGAGAAGTGGAGGTGGGGATGGAGGAATTGAAAACGGAGAAGGGAACACCACGGGGTTCGGAAGAAGCCTCTGCCGCTGACGGTGGGACCGCTGTGGTTTCCAATTGGATCTCCTCAGTCATTCTTCGAAGAACATCCATCAGTTTTAACATGACGTTTGTCCTCTCTTGCAACGAAACGTGCTGTCTGGCCGTTGCGTCCCCGTCTTCCGTCGGGTTCGGTGGGACCGCCGGTTCTGCCGACGGCTCCTCCAGCCGCTGCGAGCGCCCGTCCAGTGAGTGTCGGAGAGGACGGCCGTCCCGTTTCTGCAGGTGAGGGCGAGTGGTCGGCCGTACCACTTGGTGGACGGCGGTGGCGCCGGCGTTCGCGCCTGTGGCGATCTCTGAACCACAGCCCCTGCACGTCGCAGGATCTGCCTGTAGACAGCGGAAAATAGGGGTCTTACACGTGAAACACACGTGTTAACGTGAAAAAAAAAAATTTAAGGGGAGTCGAAACAAAACTATAAACTTTTGGTGGTTTGGGGAATTAAATATTTTTGTAATTTACATCGGTAAACCCGCGCTTAGCTCCTTAGCAACCAACCATATAAACAACGCTTCAAGAGCGCTTACATAGCAACGGCCGACAAAAATACTCGAGAGTCCATTAAAAATATTTTGGCGAGCTCTCAGGTTTAGATTTTACCAGTGCTCATACATCTTTGGATGAATATTCCCATTTTGTCCCATTTGTCCCCTTCACCCATTTTGTCATCTTGTCCCGTTCCCCGGTCGACCTGGCCTCAATCAAAAATCTGCGATTTTGAATAGCATTCTTTAATTTTTGGAGGCACTTTATATGAAGCCCCTGCAACATTTTCTCAAAAATAGCTGCATTGTTTTTCTTTGAATTTCTTGTAAGAATAGAGTGTAATACATATATAAAGGTGGCGTAGGTTTTATTGTCACTATTAACTCTGAATTTTTTATAATTGCAATAGTTTGAAATTATTTCGGTGACTTCTTACAAATGCTACAATATTGAAGGTAGAGATTTTTATTTAAAAAACATTTGTCCTCCTTAATTAGTTCTTTTAGTAACATAGCGTAGTTTTTTGAAGGAAACAAGACTTTCTCAAAAATGGCTTCTAAATTTCTCTTAAAATTTGGGCTGAATGTGCTAAACAAGATGACATAAATGCCATTTTTGTTGCAAACATGACAAAAACGTAATTTTTGTCTCTCACGTCATTAATATTTACACTACCGGCGATTTTTTCTCATTTTTGCATTTATGAGTACATTTTTAATGAATAAATTTTAATGAGTAATGAAAAAATTGATGAGTAAATAAGTTACCTCATATCTAACCAAGTTTCTCGAAAATTCCATTTCTTCTGTGAAAATGAACTCAAATTTTCTCATTTTCAGAAACATTTTAAAGACATTTTCTGACAAAATTCTCTAAATTTTTTCTTCAAACGTTTTGTACAGATAGTGCTAAATGTTCAGTTTAAGGCGACATAAAAGTAATTTTGCTGTATTCTTATTTGTATTAAGTAAAAGTAGTTTTTTTGTAATATCTCTGACCCAAATAATTTCCTGCAATTTTTATGCATTATTTCATTTGTTAGTGGAAGTGCTTCAAATGACTTTGAATTATGTTTTGCGAAAACTCAAAATTTGTCTGTGAAGAAAAAGCTTCAAATTTCGCATTTACAGTAAAATTTACCCAACATTTTCTTATAAACGGCTTCAAATTTTTCAAAACCATAATATCAACCAAAATTTCCATATAGGACAAAGTTTTACTCCATTTTAATATTCCTAAATTAATGATCTATATCATTAGGAAATCGAAAAATCGAGGAGAAAAAAAGTAGTTTGGGTGGCGATAGATGTCAGCTGCCAGAGAAAGGGGCAAGACCAAAATGCTTGCCAAGGCCAACGAAATTAAAAAATAACCAGTAGTGCGAGAGGGTCCATGCCATTCTGTAGTACCACTGATTTTACATTATCTTTGTAGTCAAGAAATTACTGTTTCCTCCTTGTATTTTTTAATGTTAATATTATAAACATTCTTAACCCTAAGTTATGCAAAGACTTCAAACGCTTGTTAGATGTTTACAAAACATCTGAAGCCGTCTCCCGCTGCAATCGCATCATGGAAACTCAAGCATTCTCTTCCAGCGAGGCCTGGCAGTTGCTGTCTTATTTAAATGCCTGTCGAGGCAGAGAACAGTTGTGCAATTGGAACCACGTAGTTAATGTTGAATTAGTTCGTCAAAAAAAGGGTTGCGACCTTCTCAATGAGAACCATAACAATAGAATATATTCCAAAACAATAGAATATATTTGTTCCAAGTATTTATGTTCTTGACCTAACTCAAAAGTGAAATATTTTAATGCAGAATTGCATAAAATGATGTTAATATATTGTTAAATACATGTAGTATTTGTTCTTAAATGAATTCAATTTGCCTTCCATTACATTGCAATTGTACCGTCCAATGCAGAAACGGAACATATTACATTTTCATAACTTTACAGGGGATAGAAAAAACAATTTGTAACAATACATTATTATTATTATTACTATTATTATTATTACTATGTAATTTTTTGCAGATATATTTGCGGTATCTGAACGCACAGTGCAAGATAAATCTGAAAGAAAGACATGCCAATCATAACATTAAAATAGTCGAAATGTGAACATGTACCCTTTCTGCATTACACGGTTCAATTTATTCCGGGGTTAGCCCACACACACACACACACACACACACACACACATACACACAAGTGGTGATCTGGGATTACGGAATTGGTATGCAATTGTTAAAACATTCAATTTAGCTTTACGTTAATAAACATCTGACGAATTAACTTTTCGAAAGAATTAATAGAATGATGCAGTGATTTAAAAGCGGGTTATGTACTTAACTTACCAGTGGTGTTTCTTGATCTTTCGAATTGTCAGGAAGGACTGCATTATATCGTGCATTCACTGCAACTATCAGCGTCAATAGCGCTAGACAGCACATCACAGGGGACCCCATCCTGAAACTGTCCCTGGAATTCACCGTTAGGTATTGAGCTATTCAGTTCAACTAAGCATTTCACCGATGCTACTATCGATGTATATAATATCGAATATAGTGTCTAATATATGAGTAGGCAGACACTACTTTCTAAGGTACGAAAGATTGCGATTAACAAATGCGTCTGAGAATGTTTTTAGAAATGCACGTTTTTGTAAGTTACATCAAAGAATTTACAGAAATGTATGTTATGGTCACAGTGTTGAATCCACAAATAAAATAATCGCTGTGTATGATAATCATTATTTATATCTAATTACCATATCAGCTAGTCAACATGATTAATTATTGTCCGGTTATTATTCATTATAGCTAATGCGATTTGTCTGAAGTAATAATTCTCTTTAACCATAATAACTTTTACTAGCCATCATGCGTAATGACTAATATGAGTTGGTGAAGGTGTAATTTCTGCTATTGAAACGCACATTTTTTCGCAATTTCGAACAAAAACGAATCTACTCTCATTAATGACGTAAACATCAGCTAGTCATCTCTATGTATACGTTTCTATAACATTTGTAGTTTGTACAACAGTCGGTTGTTTCTTAGAAAAAATCATTTATGGTAGACAAGCTAATATATTGGAAGCTGAGAATGTCTTGGGGCATTGTGTCAGTAATTTATAATAAATTCCATTCAGATGAAAGGGTTCAATACTATTAAACGGATTGTTGCATATAGATTTAAAAATGAGGTCACGTTCCTCTGCAATATGTGTCCTACGAGTTATTTCCTATTTTATTGTAATTTGTTTATAGTATTGTCCTATTACAAATAAAATAATACAGTAACATGCGCAAGTAGTACAGTAGCATACACAACAAATACAAATAATACAGTAATACACAACAAATGCCAATAATACAGTAAGACAATAACAAAATAATAGAACAGCGTAAGATACAAAATAATTGAGAGAGCAGAACATACAAATATATACTAAACGACTTTCATCAAGTGAAGCTTGACTCATTACAGATATGATAAGGTACTAATAATTCAATCATTAGAGTGCTCGTAGAATTTAGCTTAAACCATTCATTTATAATAAATGTACATAATTTCAGAATTGATGAAATAAAATTGTAGAGTTTTAGATCTTTCAGAATTCAGTTCAATCAAACAATTGGGAAATGATAATACATCATTGTGGTAAGGTCCTCTAAGACATTTATTAGTTGGGCACGCAAATAAAATATGTGTAAGTGTTTCGTCAGTATCCGTATTACATAGCGAGCAGATTCAATTTGGGTGTACTTTGTGCCACATATTTCTACTGTTGATGCTGATTTCTTTGTCACTGGAGATCCATTGTGTTTGAGCGAATACTCTAGTAATAGAAGTGGGGAGAGCGAAAGTTAGATATTTTTTTCTGTTTTTGTTGATTGCAAATCTCTACTTCTTCCTAATCCCCTGATTTCTCCCTAAACATACGAGTTATTAGGAAATGTTATTCAAACAGCTTGAAGATAAAAGATTTTCAACACTGACTAAAATATCAGAAAATACGTTCTGAAACTTTTACGTAACCGTTTCAAAAATACGCGAAAGCATGTCGCCCCACTAGTGTTCCTTAAAGATTTCACAGTTCAATTCAAACACGAAAATATCCATATTGTCCATTTCGTTTTTAATATTTTCATTAATTTACTCCTTATGTATGTCAAGACAATCTCAAAAGAATTATATTTTTACTTTCTGTCCTTTTTATGTACGTAGAGAAAAGTAAGTGTACTAATGCTGAGAAAAATATCGGCGGTTTCTCTACGGAAAACTCGTATTGTTAACCCCAGGCGTAGAAAAAAGGATAAAGCTATTTCCTACATATTGCAAATTACTTTTTCTTATGCAGTGTGTAGTCAGAATCCACGTTTTGTGGATCCTTGATGCCGAAAAATTAGTTTACAACAAAACTGTGTCCGCCTGCCTGTGTCCGCCGCCTGTTTCCGCCGCCTGTGTCCGCCTGTCTAGCATTTAACTCAATGTTTTCCAAAATTCATATTCATCGATTTAAACTGAACAATTTAATTCCTCTCCCTCTTTTCCTAAAGTCTACCAGAAACAAGCAATATCATTTGTTACAACGGCCTTACGTGAGACAGCCAAAGCAGCATCTCCGAAATATAAAAATCCAATTCGTCACTTCACGAATCCCATCCTAGTGATATACTGATCCTAATATCCCTTAAACCAAACGCCAGTGGCAGAAAAATCGCCTCCCTTACTTAAAAGCGAAACTTAATAACGCTACGGAAGCAGTCCACAATGCTCCAACCAGTATCATAGGCAAACATTTCAAGTCTTTATCTCTAAATATAAACTCTAAATATAATATTTATATCTCTAGATATAAATACCAACAACTTTTGGAAAGTCTGCCGACATTTCACCCGTCCAATCCAAACAATCCCCCCCGCTTAGAACTAATACAAAAATTGCGCATACGACCCCGGAAAAGCAAGACGCACTCACATCACACTTCAAAATCTGCGTACTCACAAAATTCACCCCCACCGAGATAGTATTTGTAGAAAAGCTGTCTTCAAGAGTTGTATAAGACTTAGATTCTTCCGCTCATGCTGGAAAAAATCAATAGTAATTCTCATTTTAAAACCCAATAAATATCCAAAACTTCTATCAGATTGCAGAACTTTCAAATGCAAATATGAACTTGAAAATGCACAAATTATATTCAAAACGTCGAGCTACTATCCAGAGTAATACATACACAAAGGCTGTAAAGTGGTAAGCCCACAGATCTGATTATATATATATATATATATATATATATATATATATATATATATATATTTTAAATCGTCGATTGATCAAAACGAACTCGCATATTTGTGAATTTGAAACGTATATTTAGTTATTTTTAGTTTTAGGTACTTTTCAGTCTCAAAAACATTTTCAAAAGTTTCTCAAAAGTAACTCCAAATTTGTTGATTAAATGTTTTCCCCGAATAGGAGAAAGGACGCTTCAAAATGTCACAGGTTTTATTTTCGTTGAAATCTGAAATTTCGAAAAATAAAAGTTTAAATTTTGTGCGGATAATAATACGACTGCAATATTCAAGAAAAGGGTTTCTTTCCTGAATAAAATCTGTTTTTCAATGACATGTATTACAATAAGTTTTGCGTAATTTTGCATAAAATATAGGCCAATTTTAAACATATATTTTCTCAAAAATTATCTCTCCAAATTTTTCTGTACTTTTTTTCCTCGTATGTGGCAAGGGACCGTAAAAATGATTAATTGTCCCGTTTTCGGCAAACTTTTTTCTTTTTTGTTTCGTAAAATGGCAAAAAGTAACCTTCCAAAACTATAATACTTATGACACAGATTTTTTCTTAAACGAAATATGTTCTTAAAAAGTAGGTCATTAAAGAAGATAATGTACAATTTAAAAAAATCTAGTTGTTTTCTTGTAAGTTATGCTTTAATGCAATTTTCTTTTTTTCTCGTAAACGACGCCATGGCGTTTCATAGAGCTCATTCAGACAGCGATCCAGCTTGAGTATAGTTGCACGTGCATGCCCAGATACCAAAGATGGTTTTACTATATTATTATTTTTGATTTTATTATTTATATATTATTATTATTTTATTATTAACTGTATAACTAGTGTGTTCTGTAACAGCACATTCCTTCTCGAATTTATAAATAACTTTTGGCATTATCTTGAAAAGTTAAGGAATGCAATCTATTAAGTCGGTTTACGAGAAAAAAAGAAAATTGCTTAAAGCATCCTTACAAGAAAAACAACTAGATTTTTTTTTTTAATTGTATCCATTATCTTTCTTTAATGACCTACTTTTTAATGACATATATCTCAGTGTAGAGAAAAATCTATCATAAGATTAATTCGTATTTGAAGGTTTACTCCTTTCCATTTTACAAACTAAAAAAAGAAAAAGTTTGCCGAAACGGACCAAAGTAATCATTTTTTACGAGTCCCTTGCCACATACGAGGAAAAAAAGTAATAAAAAAATTGCGGAGAAGTTATTTTTGAGAAAAAAGTTGGTTTTAAAATTGGCCTAATTTTATGACAAAATTACGCATAAAACTTATTGTAATACATCATTGCAAAACCGATTTTATTCAGGAAAGAAATCAATTTTCTTGATATTGCCAGTCGTCTTTTATTATGTCCGCACAACAATTAACATTTGTATTTTCGAAATTTCAGATTTCAACGAAAATAAAACCTTGTGACATTTGAAGCTCTCTTTTCTCCTATTCGTGGGAACATTTAATCAACAAATTGAGTTACTTTGTGAAAAATTTCGAAAAATGTTTTTGAGACTGAAGAAGTACTTCAAATAACTAAATATACGTTCAAATTCACAAGTATATGGAGTTCGTGTGATCAATCACGATTTTTTATAACAAAAAATATTTTTAATCAGATCTGTGGCTTACCACTTTACAGCCTTATGTATGTATTACTCTGGATAGTTAGCTCGAAGTTTAAATATAATTGTGCATTTTCAAGTTTCATATTTTGCATTTGAAAGTTCTGCAACCTGATAGAAGTTTTTGGTATTTATTGGGTTTTAAATAGAATTACTATGATTTTTTCAGCATGAGTGGTAAGAATCTAAGTCTATACAACTCTTGAATACAGCAGTTAGATAGGAAGCGGCATGGTTCGAAGTGTGTTTTAGAGTTACGTTAGATTATGTAACCTTCTGAGGGGAGATGTTTTTTTAATTTTTTCATTAATTGTTTACGTTGTCTGGAGAGATATGTAATTTCTATAGGTAACGTGGGCAAGTGATTACCGGTTCATTAGAATTCTTTACAAATTTATCTCAGGTGGGGGATTTTGTGGAGTACGCCAGGTTTTGACAGTTGATTGTGAGTTGCGTCTGCTGTTTCCGAGGCTCGTTATCGCAATGTTATTGTATTAGTTTTAAGCGGGTATGTTTGGATTTGACGTGTGACACAAAGTAAGCCCCAAA